GCTCAGCCTTGGGGCTGTGGGAAGAATGGTGCAAGTCCTGGGCGGAAGAGCCAAGAAGAGGCATCCAATAGTTTAGAGGTCCAGTGCTGTCACTTCAGGAGAGTGCGGTTTCAGAATGGGAGCCGTCCCCGAGATGTTTGCACTCAGCTTCACTACCTTTGTCGACAGTGGCTGCAACCAGAAAAACACACAAAGGCTCAGATGCTGGACCTGGTGCTCCTGGAACAATTACTGGCTGTCCTTCCCCCAGAGATGGCAAAATGGGTGCGGGAGTGTGGAGCAGAGACCACTTCTCAGGCGGTGTCTCTGGCTGAAGGCTTCTTGCTGACCCAGGAGGAGGAAAACATGCAAGAAGAGTTGCAGGTGGGAGAATGGAATCATCAGAGATTAAAGAGGATCTCTCTGAATTTGTCAATTCCTCTCTGGCTGAATTTTCTGGGCTAATTAACTCCTAGGGACATTTGTTGTGTTCTTCCAGAGAATGTATTTTGGGCAATTCTTCCATTCTGTTTTGAGTTTCAGCAATGGACATTGGGGGCTGCTAGGTTGAAGGTGCAGTATGATAATTCATTTGTATCTCTGTGCTCTTCCTTTGTTTCTCATATCACATCATGCCCAGAAATCCTTGGAAGCTGTGACTGAGTATCCTAAGGGGAGGAAAGATTCATTCACATCTTTTCAAGAGTTTCTCTTCAGGGAGAACTTCCAGAAAGGTCAAAGTCAAGATGCTACGCAAGGTAAGAAAAGCTCTTTCTGTGTGTTGTGAGATTTCAACATTTAGCTGATTCTTTCACTCCACTTTATTGGAGTTTGTCTCTCTAACAAATCTGCTTCCACTATTTTTCTCTTTCTCACAGAGAGTAGAATGCTGTCCTTTGAGTTTTCAGAATCCCCTCTTTGTGCTGGAGCTGAAAGATTAGTTGAATCTCTACGTCAGGTAAGGAGACGAAAGATTGGAAAAGGTTCCTGAATCTTGGATGGATTTCATTTTGTTCAATGTATAAAATTGCTGTTTCTAAGCAATACGAATTTTACGATAAGTAGTGGATTGAGGGCTTTTGATTGAATATTTTAGTTGGTTACACTGTAAGGAATTCCAAACACTTCCAGCTTGATCAAACATGATTTAGATATGCCATCAGCCAAAAGCAGTAAGATCATAATCTTAATTCTGCAGAAGATACCCGTTTTATTCACTGGATCTCTTTCCTAGAATAGGTAGAAGAAAATTATCAAATTATTCTTGGGATTTTCTGTTAATAGGGAAACTTGTTTCCTTGTTCAGGATGTCGTGTCTTTTGAGGAAGTGGCTGTGTATTTCTCCAATGAGGAGTGGTCTCAACTGGATGCTGACCAAAAAGCTCTCCACGGAGAAGTCATGCTGGAGAATTCCAGGAATCTGTTTTCTCTGGGTAAGAACCCCTTTCTGTGCTCCGAAACGTAGGGAAGGGAGTTAAATGCTATTTCTGGAAAAAAAAAAAATTTATTTACAGTGTATTCAGAAAGTATTCAGACCCCCTTCACTTTTTTCAATGTTGTTATTTTGGTGCATCATTCTATAGTTTTTGAAATAAGTATTTTGTATTTTATGAGCAGGAAACATTAAAAAAACCAATTTATTTATTGTTATAAGGGAGGCTATGCAGATTTCAAATTTTTCTTTACATTTCCTTCTTCCATGAAATCAGTTTGGTCAAATGGTTAAGATACCAGGTCAGGAACTGGGTGACTGTGAGTACTAGTTCTACCATAGGCAGGAATGCTGGCTGGATGACTTTGGGCCAATCTCTCTCAGCCCAACCCATTTCTCAGTGTTGTTCTTGTAGGGAAAACAGCAGGAGGAAGGAATATTGAGTTTGTCTGGTGGATATAGAGTGCATTCTGAAGATATTCAGACTCCCTTCAATTTTGTTATGGTGCAGGCTGATTCTACCATTGTTGAAATTCTTTTTTTCCCCATTAATCTATACTGGAACCCAATAATGACAAAACAAAATTTTAGAAAGGTCTGTAAATTTAGGAATATAGGAATAGTATACCTACACGTGCTACAAGCAGTATCCCAACGAACAGCAATTACAGCAGGGAATAAACTTGATGAACTAACAACCACTCTAGCAGGTGGTCCTTTTATTACACAGGCTCCTAAAGGGATAACAGCCAAAGATCCTGCTGACTCATTCCCCTCATTGCACCAGCTGGTTGGCTCTTAAATTAACACCTTGACAGGTTTTTTTTTACATAACGAAAATTCTTTGTTTTTTAAAAAAGCATTCTTATGAAATACAAAATGCTCATTTCTTAGGAGATATTAGTGAGACTGAATGTACTGAGGAAGGTTCTGGCTAGCAGGATTCAGTATTCCCTCCTAAACATAGTCACTGGGTTCCTGATGGCCCTGAGTTGCTATAAGCAAGAGTGGATGATCTCTGAGACAGATGTTCCCTTCTTAAAGATATGCCCACTTGTGTACTGAGTTTGGGATTAGGCTCAGTTGAGGGTGTGGAGGTATTGCATCCAGAAATTCCCCTTGGCTTCCAAAGATTCTGCTCTACAGACAAGTGGACATGAGACTTTTATTGAAGTTGGAAGGTTTTGAGTATGTTGCTGCCCAGAATGATAGTGTCCAATACACTTCGGGAAGTTTGTGGCACCATGGAATTGTCCCAGGTCAAAGATTAGTTCAGAATTGTAATTCAATCCTATAGGAATGAAAATATACAGTTTCACTTTTTCTTTTCCAAGGCTATAATGGGCAAAAGAATAAGAATTGCAAGCAGGAGTGCCAAGCGATCCATTCGAAATGGGGGGAAAGGAAATTTGAAGATCAGATGCAACCAAAGAATGATGAAACAAAGAAATCACAAAGTGGAATTGAAAATGGTTTTTTTCGGGTCCGTTGGCTTCGTAATCATACAGTGATCAATAAGGGAGAAAGATCATATAAGTCCATGGAGTGTGGAAAGAAATTCAATAAATCCGATTGTCTCTTTTTTCATAAAAAGACACATTCAGAAGAGAAACCAAATACCAGCAGGGAGTGTGGAAATACACTCTATGATAATCACTCTCTTAGAAAACATGAAAGGAATCACAAAGGTGAAAGACTTTATATATGCTTGGAGTGTGGAAAGACCTTTACTTGTAGCAGTAGTCTTAATTCTCACAATTTGATCCACACAGGAGAGAAGCCATATCAATGCATGGAGTGTGGAAAGGGTTTTAGGACAAGTAGTCATCTTACATCGCATAATAGGATTCACACAGGTGAAAGACCTTATAAATGCTTGGAGTGTGGAAAGACCTTTACTCGTGGCACTTACCTTAATTCTCACAAGGGGATCCACACGGGACAGAAACCATATCAATGCATGGACTGCGGAAAGACCTTCTGTTTTAATCATTCTCTTATAAGACATCAAAGGAATCACAAAGGAGAAAGACCTTATACATGCTTGGAGTGTGGAAAGACTTTTACTTGTAGCAGTAGTCTGAAATCCCACAATTTGATCCACACAGGAGAGAAGCCTTATCAATGCATGGAATGTGGAAAGGGTTTTAGGAAGAGTGGTAATCTTAATACCCACAAGAGGATCCACACAGGAGAGAAACCGTATCAATGCATGGAATGTGGAAAGACCTTCCGCTATAATTGTTCTTTTATAACGCATCAAAGGCATCACAAAGGAGAAAGACCTTATAATGGAGTGTGGAAAGACCTTTACTTTTAGCAATTATCTTAATTCTCACAAGAGGATCCATACAGGAGAAGGACTTTATAATGTGTGGAATGTGGAGATTGCTTTAGAAGGAGTTGTGATCTCACAGGAGAAAAATGGAGTGGTGGTTTTTAAGGAGTAGCGCTTTTACTCACCATAGAAGCATCCATACATGGGCGAAACCATATCAATAAAGTAATTGTGGAAAGAGCTTTAATAGAAATCCAAATTGTCCTTGGTGTATGACTGAAATTTATCCCCAAATTTCTGTTGCTAAGCGAGACAGTTATTAAGTGAGTTTTGCGCCATTTGATGACTTTTCTAGCCACATTTGTAAAGTGGTTATTAAGTTAGTAACGTGTTTTGAAATTAATTTGGCCTTCCCCATTGCATTTACCCTCAAAAGGTGATCACATGATCCAGGGACACTGCAGCTGACATGAATCAGTTGCCAAGCATTTCAAGTTTGATCAGGTGACCATCGGGATGCTGCAACAGTCATAAGTGTGAAATATAGTCATAAGTCACCTTTTTCAGTACTTCTATAACTTTGAATAATCACTATATGAACAGTAGTAAATTGAGGACTACCTATAGTTGTCCAAAATATCATATAAGGATCATTTGAGTAATAATACAAATAAACAGTAGCTCTTAGAGGTGCATGCATAAATTGCCTTCCAAGTGCAAACCAGAATAGTGTGGATCCCTAATCCTGCTTGTGGTTTTTGCTAAATTATAATAGAGAAAGGACTTTTCTACATGTAGAAATATTGAGGATTGTTTTTCATTATATATATTATTTCTTTTCTCTAGCTGTTGTTCCTTTTCCATCTCTGCTTGTGTGAGGAAGACTCCGGTGAGAGTTCTTATTCCCGCATCCAGAATGTTGGATGCCACCAATTTCTCATGCTTTCTTTTTAAACCAGGAGTTTAATACCCACAGGCTGTGGTATATTTGGAACTGGGCCACAGAAGCAGTGGGTGAGCGTGTGTGCAGGTAGCTCCACTTGTGCAATTGGCAGGCAATCTTGATGATGTGCAAACCTCCATTTGTGTGAGCGGCGGGTGCACAGGCCAGCTACTTCCACAAATGGAGCTGTGCATGCTTGCATCTTCCTACCGCTTGCACAAAACCATCCTCTCTCTCTTTCTCCCCCCCCCCCCTCGCTGGGATACAAAAGTTTAGAGACTGCTGTTTTAAATCATTAATCATACCCAATTTGATTGAGTTGAGCTCAAAATATTTATCAGTAGTACTGGATTCTAGATGGTTTCTCCCGATACGGGTTGTGGAGATGTTTTACTTTGAAAAAATATAGAAGATACAAAGGATAAACATAGATACAAACAATAAGTTCTTTTATGTTTGGTTTTTATACTAGATCAAACATGTCAAACACAAGTCCTGTCAGTCAGAACCAGAACACAATCAGGTTAGATGTGGCCCGCGTGGTCACCCAGGAGACAGCCGTCCCACGCTGCTTTGGCCTTCCCCACCCCAGCTGGATGCTTCCCCTAGCTGTATGCACTGGAAGTGGCACCTGGGTCTGGAGTGCTGAGTGGGCCATGGAGGCGGCAGTGGCCATGATGCCGGGCAGCGCACTGCTGCTGGGGATCTCTGCTCACCAGCCTGCCATTGCAGCTGGCCCTGTTCCCCCAAGTGCTTTCCTTTTCACTAGGATGGCCCCCGCCCTCAAATGGGAAAGCCACGGCAGTCGGCAGCTTTGCCACCCTTGTCCCTTCCTGGGTGGGAGGGACGGAAGGAAGGAAGGAAGGAGATTGGAATGGGAGGGAGGATTTGAGTGAACTCTTGCCTTAGCACTTGGCCACCAGCAACTCTGCTAGCCTTGCCATCTCCTTGCCCCCCTCCTCCTGACCTCTCCTGGTGGTCCCCCATCCTAACACTGAGGATGTTTTGCTTAGAAAGCTGGAGCTCCTCGCATAGAAAGGGAGTGGTTACTCACACAATTTGCCCTCCCACACTCACCAGGAGAAACCTGGCGACGGAGAGCGGGCACAGCAGCAGCAACCTTGAGGAGATAAGTGCCACTGAGCACTCCATCAGGAAAGCTGGACCTGGGTTAGGCTGGGCTACAGGATCCTGGTACCATGGGAGCTCGAGGGCTGGGCTGGGTGTTTGCCCACCATTGCCCAGGGCTCTGGGCAGCATGTACCTCTATCCAGGGGTCCTCTGTGTAGCCCGACGGGCGGCGAGGCTCATCTGGTGGACGAGACTTTGGTGCTCATCCTAGTCTCATCTTCCTCTGCTGGAAACCTCTGGGTCCCCCCCTCCCAGCCTTGCCTGGCTTGCCCATAGGAGGTGGAGGACGATGCTGCTGCATGTTGAAGCACAGAGGAGAAAGTTTATAGGAAGCAGTTTCCTCCAGGTCCAGCTTTTGCCTTGACAGATCTCAAGAGGAGATTGATTTGATTTGATTTGATTTATTTGGCTTGTATGCCGCCCTATTCCCGGAAGACTCAGGGCGGCTAACAATAAAAAGGGGAGGGGGTACAAAAATAAAAATAGAAAACAGCAATTTAAAATTCAACACCATCGTAACCTTGAATGGGGCTGGATAGTTCAACAGCCCCAGGCCTGCCGGAACAGCCAGGTCTTAGTTGCTTTGCGGAAGGCTGGAAGGGTAGTAAGGGTCCGGATCTCAACGGGGAGATCGTTCCATAGGGCAAGGCTGGCATGGGAGCTGCGTCAGGGAAAGCTACCCCAACAAGCCAGACTTTACCATACACTGCTGGAAATGAGGATTTTCTTTCTAAAATTACTAGAAAAAAATTGTTTTACTTCAAAGCCCTTAAGGTTCCTACTCAAATTTCCTGAGGCGTATTCCCTACTCAAAAACCAAAATAAAACTATTCATGTCTCTTTTTTTTTTGCTTAGTAGTATTTGACCTTTATATTTATTTTTCAGTATTTGACTTCCTTCATTTTGTAATTCCACTTTTTCTCTAGTCACATATGAGACTTTATTCTCCCAATCTTCATTTCTTCATCATGGTTCCTTATTTTGAGGTAATTTTTTTTAAAGGTCCACAAGTTTGAATTTTCTCTTCATTTTGGTACTTTTCTTTTAAGGCTTCTTTTTCATTGGGATGTATTACAGGCTGCCTTTAGTGTTTCTAACCCTCCTTGACTGCCCAAAGACATGAATTTGAAAAGGCAGCTATAATAATTGAAAAAGAAAAATCAATTACAAATCTTAATTTTCCTCAACCTGTCGCTGTCCTCCCTGTGTCTCAGCCAGCCCCCTGATCTCCCCTTCCTTCAACGCTGAGTTTGGCATCAGCCACAAGACACAGGCTGGGTTTTAGAGACAGACTTTTGTTCCTTGTCTTTTGACCGCCCTGCCATTTCTGACAGGATTTTGCTCATTTTTGAGGGAATCCCTGCAGATCCTTCAGAGAAGCTGCTCTTCAGGAAAGGGATTTTTGAGTCTCTACAAGAGATTTTCTCAATGTACACAAGATCACAGATGTTTCTTAAGAGATTAAAGAGAGGGAAATCTAGAAAGTGATGCTTGCCGGACAGGTCACGTTCTTTCTAGATAGCCAATTTTCGAGGGAACCTTTAATCTGAGTCTAATGCCCGTTATCCCAGACCCGCATGGGACATGACATCCTGCGC